GGGCTGGGGCTGGGGCTGGGGCTGGGGCGGGCGGATGTGTCGCCTTGGCGCAAGCAGAGCTCTGCTCACTCCCTCCCTTCTCCTGCGCCTGCTCAGCTCTACCTCATCTCGAGTGCCCATTCTGGAGAAATGACCATTTCTAGATTAGAAATTCGTTCTCTGTCTCTCGAAAAAGGGAGGGAAGGGAAGCGCTCTTAGGGCGCAGAGTTTAACATCCGCCAACCCGGGTCATGCTGGAGCCTTGGGGACCCCATAGGACGGGCCGGCGGCAGGGCCGCGTCTCCCTTTCGACATTGACTTCTGCAGCATTTCTTTCCAAGTCGCCCCTTCTCCTAATCTGATGACTTCTGGTTTACAAGCTGAATTCCGGTTACCCCCCAGCGGCCTGCGTAGTCCTGTGTCTCTCCGCTTCTGCGGAGCCAGGGGGTTACCCCGCCCGCTCTTCTGCCTCCCTGCAAAACCCAAGCCCTTGTTAGTTGGGAGGGGAAGGAACCTCTTTCTTCAGCTATGGCTGATGCACCACGGCCTTCGTGGGGTCCGTTTGTTGTTGCCCCTGCTTAGTAGCCTTGCCTAGTCTCTAGGGCAGAAAGCCTACTGCTGTCCATGACAGCTTTGTGGCATCCTTTTTTTTTGGTGGCCTCTTGGTCCGTTTTGTGCCCCTAGCACAAGGATCAGCTCCCAAGTTGCCTACTGACTGCCCCTTGGCCCACAGGACCCTGGCCTTGCCCAGAAGGCAGAGTCAGGGTGAGTTCTGTCCCAGGCAAGACCTGGAAGAGTGTGGGTGAGGGAAAAGCCCCCTGCAGGCAGGTGAAGGGGGCTTGGGAAGCCCTAGTCCTCCGTGGCAGGTATGCCTCCCAGCACTAACCCCTTGCTCCGCGGCCGTTCTCTTCTGGGGGCTCTGTTGATCCCCTGGCCTCGGTGGTGGTCCTGCAGACAAACCCTTGCTGGGTGGGCTTTGTGTCCTGGGCGGTGAGAGGCTGCTGTCCTTTGACTGAGCTCCAGGGCCTCGATGCTCTGGGGATGGGAAGTTGGAGCTGCCTGGAGGGAGAAAGTTGGTTGAGGGAGTTGGGAAGGCTGGAGCTGGGCTCTTGGGTGCTGCTTCCTTCCCCACCCCCCAAGGCAGAAAGTGCTGGTTTCTCCACATCTCGGAGATTATCGCCACCTACCACGTTGACTTTGAAAGGCTGGGGGGTTGCCGGTGGCCCTTTTTCGTTCCAGGTCTCTCAGCACCTGTTGCCTCCAGGGAGCAGGGCCTTTCTCAGCACCCCCTGGGCGGGGGGCGCTTGGTGGTTGGTGGTGCCCCGTGCCAGCCCAGGCAGCTGCAGTAGCAGGAATTAGCTCAGTAAGCTAAGGCTTCTCCAGTGGTGGGGCTGTTTATAGAGGCACCGTCACCATGAGCAGCACCTTCTCCACTCTTTGGACCGACTTTCTTCTCATAAGGCCTGGAGCAGGCTCCCTGGCAGGGAAACGCAATTTTAGAAAGTAGGGCAGGGGCCTAATTACAATCGGCTCCAAAGTCCACCACCACTGCTGCCTTGGCTTCCTGGGGCCTCTGCATATTCATTTGTTTATTAAAATGAATTGACCACTTTGGCATGAATTCATTACCAGTCTGCAGACAGGTTGTGCGTTAGAGGGTAGCCTGCCTTCCAAAGGGCTGCTTAAAATGAAGCTCTGGGATCCTCCAGGGTAGCAGTTTGGAAACTGTCATCAGCAATTCCTCAGACTTTTCGAGAGAGCAGCTGGCAGACCCGACGCCCTCTTCCTCACTGAGGTTTCTGCTGACAGGAATCAGCAGAATCGGTGGGAGTTGCCCCCTCCCGCCAGCCCAGCCTCATCACCTTTGTCTTGTCTCCTTTTGTTGTATTTGGGATGAGGTCAGGGCATATTGTCATGCCTGTGCCCCTTGCACTTCTGCGGGATCAGTCCTCAAAAAGCCTTCCACCTTTGGAGAGAGCTGATCTGGAAGGGGTCCCGGGCTAGGATAAGAAAGCTTGAGGGGGTGCGTGCTTTGAGAGGTCTTAGGGTAGCTACTATCCTTGTCCTTAGGGAATTTTAGTTCCACGTGGCAAGCCAAAGGATTCAGAGTGCTGCCAGGTATTGGGGGGTAGGGGGGGAAGCAAGAGCTTTGGCCACGGTGGCTCTGTAATGTCCATAGGCTCTTGGAGCTGGAGGGAGCCTTGGAAAACATCTGGTGGAACTACTTCCTTGTTTCTGCAGATGAGGAAATTGGGGTCCAAGAGGGGAAGTGACAGGTCCAGGGTCGCCCCCCCAGCTGGTGGCGGAGTTGGGCGGGAGTGCAAACCTTCATAGAGGCCATTCTGCCACCTGTCTCTTGGGGCCCATCACCTTTGAAACGCCTCCCTTCTTCTCTGTCCCTGTATCTAATTGGTCATTGTGTCGGGCAGGCATCAGATCTGTCCCCTTCCACACCAAGCCCTCCTCTCCTCTTACTAGACTGTTGCAGTCACTTCCTGATTGGCCCTACTAGTTTCATTTGTCGGGAAATCCTGTTCACCCTTCAAGGCCCAGCTGAAATGTCACCTCTTCTGAGAAGCCCTTTCCACTCCTGCCCTGCCCTTTCCAGCAGTCACCCTGCTGTGTGCTCCCGAGGGCCGGGCTTGGGTCAGAGTTCTTCTAGGGTGTTTGTCTCATCGTGGGAGGGGGGCACGCAGCCTTCCTACCCCATTGGGAGTATGAGCACAAGAGCGGTGTCTTCTGTGCCTCTCAGCACGTCGTGTGAGAGGAAATGCTCGAATGTGACAGGTGTAACAAAGAGGAAGGCAGCTCGTTGAACTTGACCAGCCACCTCACTGCATGGGCACCAGTCTCTAGGTGGCGATGGGACAGTGGCAACAAGGGATGGATCTGGCAGAACATGAAGTGAACAAGGGATGGAGCTGGCGGAGCATGAAGTGAACGGGGGAGCTGATGAAACACGGAGAGGCCAGGGCACAGCCTTGCTTAGGAGAGGAGAGCTAGAGTGGTGTTCATCTAGGACAGGGTCCTTTCCCCATCTTCCCCTCCCAGTTGAGAGCCAGCATTTCCAGGATGAGGGGCCCAAGGATTGGGTTACATGACACCCCCCAGATGATTCAGAGGTGACTGAGAGCAGCTGTCACATTGAAAAGCTGGGAGAAGGGAGGAGAGCTTGCTCGTGTGCTTTCAGCGGGTGGAACCTGGACTTGTGGGTGAGATGAGGAGCCGCAGGCTTGTCTTCACACCAGGAGCTGTGCTCCCTGACAGACCTCTCTTGATGGGGGTGGGGAGGGCCCCTGCCCTGCCTGGAGTGTTCTAGAATGAGATGGGCACCTCTTGGGTCTTGTAGAAGGATCTGGTGAGCAGGAGCCCCGAAGATATCACAGGGTGCTTCTGGCCTGGCCTCCTGGCTCACTGATCAGCGTGTGATAGGAAAGCTGCCAGCTGACCCCATGTGCCATTTAGCTTTGTTCCAAACCCTGACCCACGGCCCCATAGCTGTGAGCTTTGACCACGAGGGTGGGTGCTCAGGGGAGTGAGGGTGGCTGCTTGGACATGGGACCCTTGGGCAGGCACAGATCGGTCACTTCAAGTCAATGACAGGGGTCTTGTCTCTGTCTCTGTTTTACACTGTGACCTCAGGTGTCGCTTGCCCTCCTGGGCTCTGCCCCTTTATCTACCGAGAGCAGTTGGCCCAGGCAGCCTTGGGTCTCGTTATGCATTTACCCTGGTAGCTTGCATGGAGCTCCCTCCAGGGATTGGTCAAGATGGCTCTCCAGTGCGCAAGGCTGTTGGCCTTGGCAGCTCTTGCTTTTCTGGGGTGGTTTTTGCACTAGGAATGAAAAAGAGGCAGAGGGCCAGGATCCAAGCTTGCACACGTGGGTGGCACAGGTGTTGCCCCTCTGCTTTAGGGAAATGGCAGGGGAGATCTAGTGCTTGGCATGTCCGAGGCCCAGTGACTCAGCTGGATGGCTGCAGAGACTGTCAGCCTGCTCGAAGCCTACCATCAGAGTGGGTGCTGAAGAGCAGGGTGGGGGTGTTCTTGCCTCGGGAGGAGTGGTGGTGGTACAATTGTGCTGTGGGGGTTTTTCTGTTTTTGTTTTTGTTTTTGAGGTTAGGTCTTGCTCTGTTGCCCAGGCTGGGATGCGGTGGTGCCGTCTCAGCTCACTGCAGCCTCGAACTCTGAGGCTCAGGCAGTCCTCCCGCCTCAGCCTCTTGAGTAGCTAGGACCACAAGTGTATGCCACCACACTCAGCCAATGTTTTAAAATTATTTGTAGAGACGGGATCTCCCTGTGCTACCCATGCTGGGAGTTGTGCTTTGGATGAGGGCTAGCCTTGCACACAGTTCTGCACTGAGCCCTGGGGGTGACAGCGTGAGACTGGGTGGGACCAGAGTGCAGTGGGGCGTGCATTCCCAACCATGGCCAGCCGCCTGGCCCCGGGTGCACACCTGAATACGGAAAAAAAACACTTTGTTTTTTCTCTTCTATGGTCTCACACTTTTGGCCACCAAACTGAATAGTCTGTGTTATATCACAATATCACAGCATCCCTGTGTGGAAGCCTTCCCAGTTCCCACCCCACAGGAATTCCCCCCATGCCCTGTCATGTCCTGGGGGACCCGTCTTGCATCTTGAGTCACGTGGAAGGGGCCTCATCTCCTTCCGCCATCTGCTCGCCGAGATCTCACCCAGGCCAGCTCAGGGGCACCGTGTCGATGTTGCACCTGGCCCCCAGTTTGGGGTTTCTGGAAAGAGTGTGGCAAATCCTCTGAGGGACCCCTCATAGGAGGAGGTTTTCGGGGAAGCCCTGGCCTGCCAGGTGTGAGGGGAGTCAAGTTCGAGGACATGAGGGAAGGGCCTGGTCCCAGCTGAAGGCTGGCCGTGACATCCTGCGGAAGCAAAGCAGTGCCTAGGGTCTGATTCCCCTCTTTCTTGGTGGTCTCCTAACCCCCATGAGCTTTTGAGAAGTTTCTGTCACGGCTCTGCTGAGACTGCTGCCTCTGGCTTGCAAGAATGTTCTGGAGTAGCATAGGTGTGGCAGCGGGGGCAGGGAGGGATGCTGGTGGACCATCACCTAGGAGACCAGAGGAGGTCCAGGAGGTCAGAGCAGAGGCTGGGTCTCATCCCCGTGGCCCTTCGCAGCCTGCAGTGGTCGCTGTTTTGGGCCACTTGAAAGTGCTGCTCTGGGCTCTGGCTGTCCTGATCCTGTGATGAAGGGACAAAAATGTGGGCTCCAGGGAGGAGGAGCACAGGCCCACCAATAGGGTATTTTGGGGAGAAGTTCATGTCTGATCACTGAGTGCTAGGGAAGGAACGCAGGGGCTAGATCCCCAGTAGCTGACGAGGGATCTTGCACAGTAACTTCCCGCTCATTAAGATGACCTTGGCTAGAAGCAGGGTAGTCACAGGCTCTTTTGCAGTGGCCTGAAGTCGAGGGGTTTGGAAAATGGCCCAGGTAGCGCGGCTGGAGTTGCTAGAGCGCCTGCAGGAATGGTGCTGGCTCAGCCCCTCTCACCAAGCTTGACGGCTGGCAGATTTGGGGAATGAGAGGAATGGGGCTCCTGGGTGTTCTGAATTCTGCCTCCTTCTGTTCCCCAGCAACCAACCAGTGGTTCATCCCAGCCGTGAGGGGGGACATTCCCCCTGGGTGTGCAGCCTATGGCTTCGTGTGTGATGGGACTCGCCTCCTGGTGTTCGGCGGGATGGTGGAGTATGGAAAATACAGCAATGACCTCTACGAGCTCCAGGTAAAGCAACTCCAGGTTCTCACTCTGTCTCCTTGGCCTCACGTGACCTGATGGTAGTAGCTTCAGGGTTGAGGCAAGTGGGAGGTGGAAGGGATGCTTGAGAGTCTGCCAAGGCCGCTCTGAACTTGGCCCACCTCAGGAGAAGGCAGGGCCCAACACCCAGGACCTTCTTGCTCCAGCAAGGCCCCTAACTCACCCTCAGCCATTTCCTCCTCCACCACAAGTTGCCCTGGGCCCCCGGTGGTGGCCTTCTCATCCCACGGTTCAGTCTCCAGGTCTTGATTTTGCAGGCGAGCCGGTGGGAGTGGAAGAGACTCAAAGCAAAGACGCCCAAAAATGGGCCCCCTCCATGTCCTCGGCTCGGGCACAGCTTCTCCCTTGTGGGCAACAAATGCTACCTGTTTGGGGGTCTGGCCAACGATAGCGAGGACCCAAAGAACAACATTCCGAGGTGAGGCTTGGTCCTTTTCTCTGTGGAACCCCCTGGATGGGTGTGCTCTCACATGCACAGGGCTCTGTGGTGTCCTAAAGAATGTGCACAGCAGAGCTCCGCAGCTGGGTCCCTTTGTCGTGGTGGGTTGTAAATGAGAGAGCAGCACCAGATGCCCTCTCAGGAGCTTTCAGGCTCCAGAATCACTACTGACCCTGAGCAGGCCTCGTGGGAGAAGGGCCAAGCCGGAGGTGGAAGCCACTTTGCTTTGGGCTGGCCCAGCTCTCAGACTCGGCTTAGAGCTGCTCGCGTTCCTTGTCGGCCTCCGCTGCCTACAAGTTTCC